GCTAATCAAATAACACTATAGTCTTTATATCTTTTTTAAAGTTCAAGAGCAGTGAGTGATTGTTTTTTTTTCTTTGTCCTATTTTCTTTGATCAACATTAAAAACGCAGACAACAGCAGGTTTATTGGAATTCTGAGTCTATCACTTTAACACCATGTCTACACCGCAGCAGCTTGAAGTTGTCAACACTGGATGCGACAAAGCGGCCGTTGCTTGGACTATTTCAGAAATAGAACGGGGAATCCGTTTACTTTCAGGGATTTGTCGTGTCGCGCCGCATCCTGTGTAGACATTATCACTGATTATAATGGGTTCTACTGTTGTAACACATTGCGTCGTGCGCAGTTCGTGTTCGGTTTCTTTCTCAGCTGTTCATGTTCACTTAAGAACCAACTACTTTACTAGGATGCTCACAGAGACGGGCATTTTTGACATAATTTTGTGTGAACTAGTCCGTTCAAGCGCAGGAAGGAAGCAGAGCTCAAGACGTGGCTTTCAGGCCGGGGCTTCGGATGTTTAAACTTCCCACACTTTCATGTGTTCTAGCTCTTGAATATTTACATTGCAAAGGCTTAAACTTTTGTGATGAAGCAGCACTGACCTGTTAACTGTACAGAGCGTCGTTCATATTTGTTCACGTTTATGTTCTCACAACATTGCGCAACATTTATACAAATGTTACCGGCCATCTGGCGACTGACACAGTTTCATACACTCGCCAAAGCCGATTTTTACTCGCATTTGACGCTTGGCGAGTGTTAATTTTAGGCCCTGTATATATATATATATATATACAGTATATATATATATATACAGTATATATACAAAAACAACAAAAACACAACACAACTGCTGAAAATCATTTGTGATAGTTGAAATAAAATGGACATTCACTGAAATAAAATCAAATATAAAAACGTTTTATTTCTGTTAACATGTCCAATTTAGAAATGCAGTTTAGTTTAAGTACTAAAAAACACACACACAAATAACATTTTAAATAAAAAAACTGAAATAAATAAAAAAAATCTATATTGAACAAGAACAAAAACTAATGAAAACAACAGAAACACACGACAAAGATACTTAAAATGAAAATGGAAAATATACAAATGTAAACTAATAAACAAATAAATAAATAATAAATACTATTATACTATATTAAGTATACTAAAATAACACTGGATCAGAGTCAAATAAGCAGAAAACAAACACAGAACAAACTCTGACTGATAAGAACAAAAGTCTGTCCTGAGTTGAATTTTATTACTTCGAGTTTGGAAGAAAAAAAATGCAACTGATGCCAAAGCTACAAGTCCAGCAGAAACTATTTTGCTGACGGAAAAATGCGGCACTAAATTGTGTTTTTATGTCTTTGTTTCCTCACTTTCTCAGTTTTTATCGCTCTGTTAATCTTTTTCTTGTTTTTCTCAACAATGGCTCAGGAAACACAAAGTCGGGAGTCGATGCTGCTATTATGAGTCTCTCCGGATCAGGGATACGTGTGTGTGTGTGTGTGTGTGTGTGTGTTTATGTGGGATGTGTAGAGTGTGTTAAGGAGCAGATGAACTCAAGAAGAGGGCATTTCTCCTGAGATGCTGCTCTAGTTTTTTTCTTTAGTTACTCATGAAGCAGGTGTTTGGGATGCTATCCTTGATGATTATAATGATGATGATAATCATAATAATAATAATAATTTTACTATTATTATTACTAAATAAAATATAAAAAAATATTACTATTGTAATTATACACTGTAAAATGCAATTATTATTTTTATTATTATTATTGATATTATATTATTATTTTACTATACTAAAATATAATATGATTATATATATATATATATATATCATTATAACAATCTATAATTAATCTTATCTATATTAATATCTGATCTATATGCTTTTATCTCACAGCTGAATTTTGTGTTAAAATGTTTTAAGTTTTGGCAGTCCAATCAAATTTGGACTCAAGAAAGGTTCATTCATCACACTAAAGATTAAGTATATTAACTTCTAACTCTAATGTGAAAAAAAAAACTTGTCTAAAAACGAAATCAATACATTTAACAACTTTTTTGCTAGCTTGTAGTGTAGCTAACTACTTTTCTAAAAGTTGTAACTACTTGAACTGATGACAAGCTCCAGTTTTTAAGTCGCTTCCCCAAAATCGATGACATCATTTCCTTCCTGAGCAGCAGTGGACAGAGACTGCAGCTGCAGATGAATGTGTTTGTGAGCGTTCAGTATGAGACCAGCTATCGATTCTCCACTGAACTGTTTATCTTGGAGCTAATGAAGACAGGATCCGATAGCTGGCCGGCTGGTGTAGTTCAGAATTACCATCACTGACAGCGCAGGCTTCTGGCAGACGCCGATGTGAGGGCATGACATTAGACGTGAAAATGTCAGGTGAACTGCCTACGGGCCAACGGTCACTCCGGACCCCAGAGCTCAATTATCCGCTCAGATACGACGGCTTCAGATCAGCATGCAGTAATGCAATCTAATGCCACAGATGTCCAATATGAGCTACTGGCCATCCGGGATGAAGTCCACTGGACGTCCCATCACAAGAGGAGGATGAATGCTAATCTCTCAGGTCAGCTACAATATGAGCCAAAGGGAGCAACCTTTTTATTGTCTTTCTCTTATTTATCATGCTAAATAAATGTCTTTTTTGCTTTCTCAATCTTTGAGAATGTAATTTAATGTTTATTTATTAAAAGCCAGTTGTTCCCCTGTAAATGCTGTTTGAAATTTTTAATAGTTAAAGCTAATTTTGCATATTAATCAAAATTACCTGTAGAGCCTGAAAATAAATAAATAAATATCAGTCACTCTATATTTCCCAATAATATATCTTAGTAAGATGATAGTTTTTATGATCATCTCTCAGTCATCAAAGTCAAAGTCTGCTTTATTGTCAATTCTTCCACATGCACAGCACATACATACAGATAATTGAAATTGCGTTACTCTCAGACCCTTGGTGCATACAGATAACACAGTAGAACGTAAAAATACAGATAAATACAGATTAAATATATATATATAAAATACAACTATACAAATATACAAATAAGGACATGTAAAAACATATAAATAAAGCAGCACAAGGCACATGGCAGATAAAGTGCAATCCAGTGAAGTAAACAAACAGTGCAGATATAATGAGTGTAGTGCAAAAGAGCTTATTCAGTCTGATTAAAGTGACAAAAAAGCTCAGAGAGCAGTTCTTTATTTAAACTGTCAGTAGAGGTAGTTGAATGTGGTCAGTTCAATGCTGAATGAGGTAGTGAGCAGACCAATGCTGCACAAAGTGACTGGTGCAGGTCACAGTGTGTTAGTGGGAGGGGTGAGTGGAAGGACCTGGGGGCAAGGTCGGGAGGGAGTTCAGCTTCCTGACTGCCTGATGGATGAAGCTGTCCTTCAGTCTGCTGGTCCTGGCCTGGAGACTCTGCAGTCTCCTCCCTGATGGCAGCAGACTGAAGAAGCTGTGTCGGGTGGGTGGGATCACCTGCAACAATGCAGAGGGCTTTTCGGGTGCGACGGGTGTTGTAAATGTCCTGGAGGGAGGGGAGAGAGGCACCAACGATCTTCTCAGCTGCTCTCACTATGCATTGAAGTGTCTTGCGGCAGGACGCGTTGCAGGCGCCATACCACACAGTGATGGGGGACAGCGTCATCACCTGGTCGCCGGGAGGAGGTGGAGTCTTCTGTGCAGTGGTGCTGTTTTGTGCCTCAAAGCGAGCGAAGAAGGCGTTCAGCTCGTTCAGCAAGGAGATAGTGCTGTCACAGGTCCGCGGTGGGGGCTTGTAGTCCGTATTGTATCTTTGGCTCGTATCATTGTATTGCATTGCATTTTTCAAAAGATATAATGCAATGCACTGCAATGATGACTGAGAGATGAACAAATAAACATTCCTCTGAAGTCTGATGATGATCATATTTTATATTTTAACATGATTTTTATAAAAACTGATGTTTGAATAATCAAGTCCAGTATGTGTTCATCCTGAACTATTACTAACAATATTGATGTTATTCTTAAGTTTACTTTATAAAAATCAGTAAAGACACACAGCAAAATGACACGTGAAGCACGAGCTGAAGGTGGATGTTTGTACAATTATATTAAAACACTTTTTGCTTGCTAAAACTATAAATCAGACGACAGAAGGCATGTAGCAGATTGTGTGCGACGGGTTTTTCAGCAATGTTTCATCATGTTTATCATTTAGAGACCTTAGAAATGTGTGTATCAAATATGATACAGTAGGAATTATAGAGTTAAACCTATAAGCATTGCATATTCTCTTTCTCTCCCTGCTTTGTGACCCGTCTCCCTATTAAAAACCTGACTAATTGTTCTCCATTACTGGTCATTACTCTCCGGTCGGCTCACAGCAGGTGAAGCCCTAAATTACTCAAACAGCACTACAAACTGGCCTTGTGATTTAAGACACCAGAAGCACCATTATTTTACATCCCACAGCAAAGAAAATCAATATTAATGCTCCAACATGTCTATAACAGGTCTATGTCTAATGTCTAACTTGTCTTTTTGTGATTTTTATAGTCTGTAAGTCATGGCAAGTTTATTTCTTGCACTTAATTCATGGTAAGTTTGCTTTTGAGATCAGTGTCCATTTAAAACTTCATTATTAATTCCTCTTGGTTTTCAATCTTGTAATTTTCTTCATTCTGTGTTGAATGTCATTGATTTAAGAGCTGTAGTGCCGTCCATCTGATCATAATAGCTCTGGAATATGTTAACGCAGCATGTCAATACTTTCATGTTTCATTTATCCTGCCCTTTGCATTTAATGAAAGCCAGTTGGCTGGTTATTTTTCATTTAGCAGGTGCTTTTATCCACAGTGCATGTATTATAGTCGCAGTCCCTGTGGGGATGAGCGTCCTGCGCAAGGGCACTGAAGTGACAGCAGATCACACAAACTTTCTAATTTAAGAAACAACCTCCAAAGAGTTTAAGCCTACAACCTTTGGATTGCCCACTGAGATCTTGTGATGTGTGCTGCTGTCAAAATATGGGGTCAAAAGATGTTTTTCAAGTCTCTTCTGCTCATCAAGGCTGCATATTTTTGATTAAAAATACAGTAAAATAATAATATTATTTATTACAATTTAGTTTATTACAATTTAAACTGTTTTCTATTTCAATATTTGTTAAAATATGATTTATTTCTGTGAACAAAGCTGCATTTTCAGCATCATTACTCCAGTCTTCAGTGTCACATGATCCTTCAGAAATCATTTAATATGCTGATTTGCTGCTCAAGAAACATTTCTGATTATCAATGTTGAAAACAGTTTTCATTGGATTTTTCAGGATTCTATGATGAATAGAAAGTTCAAAAGAACAGCGTTTATTTGAAATAGAACATTTTTTATGTGATTAGAACTGTCACTTTTGATTAAGTTAATGCATCTGTCCCAAGATCATATTAATTTTTTAGCTCTGTGCTCTTGCTGTATGACAATTATTGTGTCTCTTTTTATTTCTCCCTGTCCAGAGGAAAGAAACAGCAACTTTTGAGCAACTGCAGCTCATATAAAAGAGAAATACTACAACTGAAAAAGATTTGTATATGTTCTACCTGAAAACGTGCATAAATGATCATGCAATATTTCTTTGAACAAGCATCCAATTAGACAATTTGTATGAATATATATTTTGTATACTCACTGTCTAACTTTTAATGTTACAAAACATTTACAGACATTTATAATGTTCCATAAGATTTCAAATAAATGCTGTTCATTGAACTTTCTTTTCATCATCCTGAAAATGTTGTATCACGGTATCCAAACATTTAAAGCAGCAAAAACTGCTTCTGAAGGAACATGTGACACTGAAGACTGGAGTAATGATGCTGAAAATTCAGCTTTGCACCAAAGAAATAAATTACATTTTAAAATGTATTCAAATAAAAAAAATAGTTATTTTGAATTGCAATAATATTTCACAATATTACTGTTTTTACTGTAAATAAACGCAGCCTTGGTGAGCAGAAGAGACTTTTTCCAAAAACATTTACTATTGTGAATCCATCTTATACGATTCTTATAAATTTTTCATGTAAATTCTGCACATAAATTTATGAAAAGTATGAATCTCGCTCTCGTCTCTCATACAGGATGGACAATAATGAAGGGAAGAGTATGTACTTAAGTCTACTTTCACGGCCATCTCGTAGGACGGTGGGAGGTGCGTGAGGTTCTGGAAGGACCGGGAGAACGACAGGTCGTACGGCTCTGTCTGGGATGTCAGGATGTTGTTCATTCTCGGCTTCTCTGCAGGGCAGAAAGGAAAAAAGAGGCAGAGAGAGAGAGAGACAAAGATGAAACACATCCCATACAAGAGAAAGCAGTTCCAGCTCAGTGTGTTCAGGCCACCGTGGCATCTGTCTGAGAGTGTGTGTGTGTATGTGTGTGTGTGTGTGTGTGCTGGAATCATTTTTGAAGAACTTGTTTAATGAGGGTGAGTGTAGGTCCAGGCAACTACTCAGCCAGTAAAACACTTGTTGGGAATGCCGTTCCCTCATTTTAACTGTGTGCTCATGGGACCAGGAACTGCCAGGCATGGGATTTGCAGGCTATTTTCAAAGGCTTGTGTTTCTAGACTTGCATATATGACATTACATAGGCGCACATATACCAGACCGCATATACACTGCAAAAAATGATTTTCTTACTCAGTGTTTTTGTTTTGTTTTCTGGTAAAAGTTCTAAACTTTCTTATAGGATTAGGTCACCCAAAAATGACAATATGTTGAAAATGTACTCAGCCTCAGGTTTGTTTCTACATGGGAACAGATTTGTAGAAATGTAGCATCCCATCACTTGCTCACCAATGGATCCTCTGCAGTGAATGGGTGCCGTCAGAATGAGAGTCCAAACAGCTGATAAAAACATCACAATAATCCACAAGTAATCCACACCACTCCAGCCCATCAGTTAATGCCTTGTGAAGTGAAAAGCTGCGTGTAATGCTACATTTAATGTTACATTTCATTTAATGCATCCATGTAATGCTACATTTCTACAAATCTGATGAAAAAATACACTCACTAACATCTTGGATGGGCTGTATGGTATTCTTTTAAATGAAGATATAATGACGTAAGATATAAAGTATAAAACTATCATAATTAAATAACTTTATTCTTAAATCAATAACAAATATCTGCCAATGGGGTCAGAAAAATACACTTGTTTCCCCTTTGAATTAAGTTTGTTTTTCTGACCCCATTGGCAGGTATTTACATTTTGTTTTACATATAAACTTATTTCATTCTGATATATTTTTTCAGAAAACAAGACTTAATACCTTAAGTAATTTAGCATCTTATGTAAATGTATCTTGATTTAAGAGTGTTTAGATATTTGCACTAGACAACAAGAGACAAAAAAAAAATAGGTAAGAAAATAATATTTTTGTAGTGTAGAGACCAACAGAGATAAGCACAGAGAGACTTAACACAAACAGAGACCAACAGAGAGAGAGAGAGAGAGAGAGAGAGAGAGAGACTGCACACATACAGAGTCAACCCTACATTCACAGACATCAAAGAAATGAGAGATTATACACATGGACAACATGTGTACTGCTTACCGTAGTACACTATTCGGTGTCCTAACAAACCCAAGTGAGAAAAACAAAATCAGTAACTTTCTTTTGCATGCTTTTGATTCACCGTGTGACATACTGCAGGGTCACTCCATGTCAAATCAATTTAGAAACTTCCCTGCCTAAAATTTTTGATTTTGTTGATATTATTTTCTGAAGAAAGACAAGCATAGTGATGAAAGCCAACATATTAAATGTCATGGATGAATATACTGAGTAATCCACTATTTTGTAGAGGGCATCCAAAATGACAATTTTGTCAAATATAATAAGTATCAGCTGAATTAAAAGTGACCCACAAAGTAATTGGTTTTCGACCATTGAAAATTGGTGAAATTTAACAATTTGCACATGAAGACACATTGGGATTGAACCATATAGGACTTAAAAAATGAAGATACCAAAAGAAAAGTTTGACAAGAACCAAAATCTAAAAGTTTATTAAGATATCTTTAACACTGCTTGCAGTACAGACATGCAAATTTTGGAATAAAAATATATTTTTGGCTCTCAGACAGTTACGTTCTATGCAGTTGTTTTGACAGAAAGAAATGAGATACATTTCTAGTTTTAACATTATTTGTTCAGACACTCCTCTTTAAAAGAAAAGCCGTATGCAAAGGGACCACATTAGGTTTTTGACAACTGAAAACATGTACAATTTACTCCTGGAGCCACACTGAGATCCCCATATCTCTGGGACTGAACCATACTGGGCCTTAAAAATGAAGATTACAAAAGAAATCTTTGTTAAGAACTAAAATCTAAAAGGATATTAAGATATCTTTAATACTACTTGAGTAACAGGCATGCAAACTTTGGGAAAAACAACATGAAAAGTGCTTTTCCCCCATTTTTGAACTATCACCACTGGCATATAATGCAAGAAAGATTACTAAAGTCGACAGATTTTACTAATAGACGTACCAATCTCTGTGTAAAAGTAACACAACGATGCTGCAATCTTTCTGAAGTCATTTTTCCTCCATGTAATTTGGCTCCAAATCCCAGGTAAAACCTCTCTTTTTAACTCTCCTCTATAAAATAGTGGATTAGTCAGTAAATATTCATCCATGGCATTTAATATTTTGGCTTCCTTTTCATTCATGTATTTCTTTCACCAGAAAAAAAAGATCACAATCAAAATTCTTAGTCAGGGACCTCTGGTGGAGTTGACACAGAATATTATTAATGCAGTGAGCTGATATTAACTGTTTTTTTTTTTTTTTGTGA